CTGGAGGTGGGATGACTGAAAGAGGAGTTCTGAATTTCCAGTTAGGTTTAGTGCCTCTGAGTTGTGGTCTCCAGCTTTCATGGCAAAGTGGAAGGCATTTTGGTTTTCCATGCTTCTGGGCTTTACTGGTTGGAAAGGAATTCTTTCTGCTTCTGTTGCTATAGGTCTTGGGTGTCAGGATCAGGGTCACCTTCCTCAGAAGCATTGGTTGTTAGCTGCAGGCAAGGCTGGGGACATTGACCAGCCTCTTGCATATGAACTCTTGTATATCACAGGCCATAAAATTTAATCCTGTAATTCCTGCATTAATCCCTTAAATAAGGTTCGATTTTTACCAGCTTTTAAAAACTATATATTGTTTCACTGTTTGCCAGATAATAATATATTTGTACTTATAACAAAAAAGGAAGCCAGTTTTTTACTTACGAAACTGCATTTTTTTACATCTGTATTTTTGTATTAAGCAATGTGTGGAAGAAAAGTTTGGCTGCTGACAAATCTTATGATAGATGTTTTCACTATCACAGGGTGTATCTACATGTGCTGTTAAGGTGACCTCATAAACTCTGGCACCGTTTATGCCACTATTTATCATGCTGCCTTAATGGCATGTGTAGATGCTCAAACTGCTGTGGTCCAGGGTGCATGTGCAGACACTGTGCCTGGAGCAGAGCAGTGACTCAACACTCAGTGTTCAGAGCCCTGCTGCCTGGGCTGACTGGGTGCAATATCTGCCTGGGTCAGCATTTACACATGTGTTTAGGTGCAGTTGTTTTTGCTGCGGTAAGATAATCACTGACAGTACTATCTTACGGGGGTGAAAGTTAGTTTGCCACAGTTTAATAGTGTCATATGTGTAGACTGTTGCTCTACACTGTAGCAAATTAATCTACTGTGCAATAAAGTGCATGTGTAGATGCACCCACAGTTCCTAAAAGGTTAAACTGCAATTATGCTCACTCTAGAGCAGAGTCAGTGAAAACAGTACAGTAGAGACTCCTGTTACAGCATTAATATAGCTTAGTGCTAGTCAAAAGGGTCACAGTGCTTACTTAACTTGCTATTTTCCACCTGCTGACCATGCAGATCTGTTAATATGTGCCTCTTAGCACCCAGCTTTTATAGATGAATGAAGTAAAAGCTATGAAAATATTTTTGGATCTGCCAGAAGCTAACTTGTCCAATGTTACAAAATTGAGTGGCATGTGCTAAGAGCTCTTTTGTTCCCTTGACTGTCAAGCTTTTAGCTGTCTGGGTATAACTAATTTTTTTGGTGAAGATTAAGACAAAGTAACTGTTGAGCAGTTCCACCCTCTTTGCATCTTCTAGTAAGAGCTCACCCTTGGTATTTAGCACTGTGGACCTATAGTTACCTTACCTTACCTGGCCTGGCATTGCACATATTTTACCTCTGTCTCCCATATTTTCTCCCCTGAAAGTCCTTGCCATTTCTTGGTATCCTTCCTTAGTAACCTTACCCTCCTTCCACTGACAGTGTTTTTTCCTTTTGATTTTGAGGCAGCCTACAAACTCCTTGTACAGCCACATTGCTCTCGTATTGCTCTGCTTGTGCTTCCCTCATGCTGAAACAGCTTCTGAGTTTCTGATGCTGTGATCCTTAGAAAGTGCCAGATCATCTGGGATCCTTTATCCTTCATTCGGTCTTTCCATGGTACTGTGCCCACTATCTCCTTGACCTGGTTGAAATCTGACTTTTTCAAATCTAGTATCTTAGACCTGCTGATGTCATTCTTTCCCTGTCTCACAATAATAAATGCTATCATATTGTGATCATTTCCTTCCAAGTTTCCTATCATCTTTGCATCCTCAACCAATTCTTCCGAACTGGTCAGAAGAAGATCCAAGATTGATAGAATTTTATGTTCTAAAATTTCTGGAAAAGAAAGTTGTTCTCTATACAAGTTAGGGATTTGCTTGATATATTATTTTTGGCTTATTGTTCTGCCAGCAGATATCGAGAAAGTTAACACTCCGCATCAGTACCATCTCATAAATTAGGGATAATTTTATCTATGACAAACCCACACCATAATACTACCAGTGTACTTTCCCCCTTTTATTTAATCTATAAACAATCATCTGACTAAAGAAGAAGTGTGCATATTTCAGACATACAGTATAATGCAAATACTACCACCTTGTTTCCCACCCTTGTCCTCCTGAAACAGAATATATACCACTATGCTAATGTTCATAATGGAAGTAATATTAAGAGTTATTAAAAAGTAACATGCCATTGATTAATTATAATAATGTGGACAGTTATTCAGACTCCATTGTGATAGGCAGCATTGAATTCCTAACCAATAAAAGTCACTGACTTAAAAGAAATATAGATTTAAATACATTTTCAATTTTTTCTAGTGTCTCCGTAGCTAAGAATGGTGCTGCTACCATTCATCAATAAGAGCCACCATCCTGTAACTCCATTTAAGGACTTCAGTGTGAAGACTAGTTTTAACAATAAGCTCAATATTTTCCTGTCTCAAACCATGTCAGATGATTAATGTGGGGGCTTCCTGGCTTATTTGTGTATCAGGAACTTCTAACATTTTAAGGTAATTTAATTCACAATTTGATTACCATAGTGATTAGAATGATTCTATTCTGTATAGCAATTTTCCTTTAAGAATAGTTTAAATTTTCCCAAAGGGTGACTAATAAATGAATTAGCCCTATTCAAAGTCAGAATATAATGAAACTGAGAATAAAATAAAACAAAACCCTTCAAAACCTCTCTGTCCAAGAAAAAAAATGTTAAGACTCTGAAATAAGAGTTATAACTTTGCACTGAAAGGGATAGGGCTTCCTGGTATTAAAATTCTGCTTAGCACAATTGTGTGCATCATTTTATATCATGACAAATAACTTTAGCTAAATAATCCATTTTTACAGCTAAATCTGCACCCTTACAGCAATTTATGCACTCAGTATTTAATTTTCACTTTCAATTCTTCAATGTTTCCTAAACATTTATATGGTATGATATATGTCTGCATACTTTTCAGTTTGCATGTGTGTATATGCCCATGTTTAATAATCCTAGGTGCTATTAAATACAAGTAAAAGAAAATGATTCATTTAACTATAGGAAGATGGTAAAAGAATGATGGGCAAATTAGACCAGGTCCTCATTTTCTAATTAGATCATACAGTATTTGATTATATAGGGCACCTGGAAGCACCCATTTTCATTAAGAATGATTAATAGATTACATTAATATGCTGTTGTTTCAATTTCCCAAAATGTATACCTTATACCTTGAGGAAAATTTTAATCTGGGTCTCTATCTCAAACTGACTTTGAGGTGGGAGAGGCACGTAATTCTAATCAGAATTGCTTTAGCAGTTTTTGAATTCAGTAACTGTTCTTATTTAAAAGGAAAAAAATGATCCTGTTCCCTTCAAACATTTCAGACAGAACAGAAAAAAGAGGAAAGCAAGAAAAAAGATAGCATGATCCAAAATAAATGATTTCTGTCCTTTTTACAGCCACTAGTGCATACCACTTTGCAACATATTTTGCTGCTAAAGCTTCATTGTTCCTCAAGGTTGTGCTAAAGTGATTTCTCAGTATTTAAATGAGCATGCATGCTGAGGTGTTGGTGTACAGATTACAAATCTCACATATAACAAAGGAAAATAATAATCTGCTCAGAGACATTACCCCTCTTTCTAGAAATGTAACCTTGTTTACCTTCTTTCTTTTTGACATCAGAATGACAATAAATAATTTCAGTCCTTCTAGGCAGGGACATTTAAGGGTAGATCTGTCAACCAAAAGGTCTGTTATTTTTTTAATGCATACTTTACCTTTGAAGGTTCTTTTTCGTGTTCAGGGTGGAAAGATCAAGGTCCCACACACCATTCTGTTAGGTTTAGAAGGCAGTACTTCTGAGGCAGCTTTATACTGTTATAATGATGATTTATATCCTTACATCAGTCTTGGAATGACTTTGTCACAATGGACAGAATGCTATCACGTTGTTTCTTTAAAATTATGATCAAGCAGAATAGAGTGAAGGCCACTTTTACATTTCACATTTACAAACCACATACAATCTTTGGAATGGGACAAATATGACTTTTAAATCTAAATCAAGGCTTCCAAGATATAGAACACTTCAAAAGAACTCGTTCTTCAATTGATGCAAATCCAAAATGCCAGTCTCAACAATGTAATTTTGTTACCTTTTTAAAAGCTCTTTAAAAGAAATGCAAGATAAACCTTAAGATATTTTAAGGTAGCCAGAACAAGGTAAGTTGGACAGTTTTCAGACAGATTGAATCCAAACAGATGAGGTAGAATGTCACATATGCCTTTATACAGGGACTTGAGTTGAACCTAGAACTCCCCTTAGGTTAGCATGCTATAAAAATGACAGTTAGACATGTGACTAGCTATGTGATATCAAAAGTGGGGACTTACTACATGGTAAACTCTGATTATGATTTGGCTGAAGTAAAAGTAAAATTAGAAGAAACAGAAGAGAATTCTGGACTAATACTACCATACCACAAGAGCATACTATAGAGCAGTGGTTCTCAACCTGCAGGCTGCACGCAGCCCAAACAGTGCACTGCTGCAGTCCATGTGACATCCTGTTAAAAAAAAAAGTAAAAATAGCCATCTGCACTTTGTTAGAGTCAAGGATCCAGGTTTTATGTTCATTGTGGAAAAATGTGGATTTTCCCCCCTTTAAGAAGAAAAATATGGATCGTCTCTTTTAAGGGAGAAAATCAAAGATTTTTGCCTTTAAGAGAGAAAAATGCAAGAAATGGCAGGTTTCCCCTTGCAGGCTGGCAGAGCTCCAGCCTGCAAGGGGCTGCTTGGGGCTGGCAGGATTGGGAGGTGGGTGGTCAGAGGCAGAGGGTGTGTGCACACACATGCATGTGGCATCCAGGCAGCATGGATCCCGCCTCCCCTGTGTCTTACACAGGCACCTCTCAGCATTAACTAGCAAACCGCATACTGGCTACAGTCTGTACTGTGGGTTGACAGGACACAGGCAGACAGGATAGTGTTAGCTTAGGGCTTTTTGAGCTAATTAACAGGTAGCTGGTAACATCCCTCCAATCCTCCCTCTGAAAAAGTTGTTGAAGAAGAGCTTGAACTAATGAGAGGAGCTTTTGTTTTCTTTGATAGACTGATAAATGCTAATAATTCCCTGTGTAACTTCCTGCTGTGTAACTCAATGCTCTGTTATCAACTCCCTGCTGGCTCCCTCCTGGCCAGCAGCAGGGGGGAAGGGGGGAACCCCTCCCTAATCAGAGCATCCCACTGTGGCCCGGCTACACCCCTCCTCAGCTCAGCGCTGCAGAAGGGGAGGGCTTCTCTAGCACCCCCCAGCTTCTAGATGGAGCCATTGCAGGCATGTGCCTATATTTCTTCAGTCCAGAGGGAATGTCTTTACAGTTACAAATCAGTTAACCTAGCCACATTAAACTAACCTGCAAAAATTGAATGAATTCAGGCTCAAGCTTTTTGAATGTCTGTTCCTAGTCCAGGTTAGTCTGTCTGAGGGAATAAAGGGCAGATTGAGGGCCCCATGGTGAGGGAGGGAGGGAACAGAGTAGGGCAGAGCAGTGCTGTGTCTGGATCAGGGTAGTGTGTGGGACCCAGGGCCAGGGGCCAGAGTGGGAATGTGCAGCTGTGGGGCCTGGCTGGGGAGTGAGATGGAGCTACATGTGGCTTATTGGCAGGCAGTGGCAGGCCTGGCTCCCCAACAGCAGTGGGGCTGTGTACACTCCTAGGGATGTAGGCATGGCAGGGGGGGCATTTTCCCTCTAGATTTGTCCTTAAGCTAGGGTGGATGTGGGCTGCCCATACAGGATTGGGGCTTCCTGCCCTGCTCTCCTCCCCTGAGGGGCCTCCACAGGAGAGTGGGGTGGGGAGGCTCAGTACTGCTGCCAGGAGCCCCATGCTGACTGTGCCACCCTGGCCATGCCATTTGCCAACCTGGCAGCAGCAGGGAGCACAACTCCACACTACCTCTGCCACTGGGTGGGCACAGGGGTGCCTGGCCAGGGCAGCACAGCCAGTTTGAGGCTCCTGAAGGTGGCACCAAGCCTCCCCATGAACCAGCACTGGGTTCTGCCCACTGGGCTGTGGAGGCCCTGTGGGGAGGGTGTCAGGGTGAGGATCCCTGAGCTGTCAGCCTGCCTTCACCCTCTCCATGCGCTCTGTTCTGGATATGCCATCTGCAGAAGATCATAAACATATACTGTGATAATCAATTAATTCTTGGATTTCGATATCCACTGCAAAATTACCTTTAAAAACTTCTAGTCTATGTAACTTTGGAACTGTGATTTCCACATGCAATGCACTATTGCGTCTCACCACTTACTGTAAATTTGTTTACAGAGTTGATCTTCTTATTACACTGCTGCTTGGTTCTCATTATCTACTCAGTAGCTCTAATGAAAACAATTAATATCCAGACGGCAGAAAAAAATCGCAAATGGTATGTGGAGAATTTCTAGTGGATACTTCTTTGATGAACTGTCATTCATCTAAAATTACATGCACTGAGTGGCATCTTTTCCTTAAACCATACAGAACTAGTATAACGTATTATCTTATATGTGACTACCTACAGTAAATCTGTATTGATATATTAAATCATAAAAATAAGTAGAAAAATAAGGGTCTAGTTTAAACCTAAGTGGAAAGAATTCAATGCTAAAGGAATACTTCTATTGATCTCCTGAGTTTAACTAATTAGGCAGACTGTAACATTTGTAACAAATTCATGGCAACCAAAAAAAAATCTTGATTCTCATTTTGGTATGCATTAGGAATTTCAGACTCAAATCAAACCTACTTCAAAATCATAGCCCATAAAGCTATTAGTTATTATGTGTAAGCAGTACTGGGCCTACAACACACAGATAGGAATTTCTGATTACATTGAACAGATTAGTGTGCATTGGTGCAGATATACAGCTGCTAATTAATTAAAAAAAAAAGGTAATCTTGTGTTTAGGAAAATCTAACTATAGGGTTTGAGAGAGGTACAAGAGACTCAAGAATGCAGTCTATTTTAATGGTCCTTACAAACTCAGTCAGCTTCCTTTAAAAGTCCTCTGGGTTAATTTCCCTCAAACTATGCAGCTGGTCTGAAAGTAATTCTGTCCTAAACTGCCATTCAAAGGATTGGGCTGCTGAGCAAGAAATTACTGATGTATTAACCCATGATGCCAAGTACAACATCAATATACAGCATTTCAGTATATGGAAAAGAAGGAAAACAGGAACCATGCAGTCTAAACATGAGAATACTGAGAAAGGAAAAATAGATCAAAGCAATACCCCACACTAGGCAACAAAATGTCCACTGCACTAGTTGTTAGGGCTATGTGAAGCTTTGGTTGCTGATTTGACTCAAAGGAGATTTGGCCTGATTCAGCAGCTGAACCTCTAAATCAAATGGGGAGACCAATAAAAAGGTCTGAATTGATTTAAAGCCTCTGAATCAATTCAGAAAAGGTTCAGAGAAGATTTGGAGATTCAGAGATTTGGGCAGTCCCTGGTCACCACCACAGGGAACTGGACCTGGGCTCCATGCCAGTAAGTAGGGGGTGAGGGGGTGGGGCTGGAGGAGGGGAGAGGGGACCATGGGGGGACCCCCACCAGGCCCCATCCCCTGCCTGCTCCCCCAGCCCGTCTGAGCACCCCACAACCCACTCTCCCAACCCTCCCCCTTCCCTTGTGGATGCCCCACCTGGTCCCAGCTCCCGGTTCTTTTAAAAAAATTTAAAAAGCCCCACACTCATCCGCTGCTGCAGCAGCCACCAGGGCTTCTGGGGGCTCATGGCAGAGACTCCATGCAGCACAGGACAGTGGGATGCAGTGGGGATCGCCCTCCCTCCCCACACCTGGCAGCAGCCGGTGAGTGCAGGGGTTGTTTTTTGTTTTTTTTTTAAGACCCAACGCTGGGGCCGAGCAGGGCAGC